CTGTAAGTAGGCCTTATTTTCGGAGGATGTCTTATTTTCGGGGAAACAGGGTATGTATGAACAATGTTATCAGTGCTTGCTATTTGGTGCTTTTCCTAAAGCCCCCATTGCTTGGATAAAAAGAGTTGCATGCGAATCTCCGCTTTCTGTTTTATTTTTTTCAAGTAAGTTTCTAGCCCTTACGGTTGCAGAGAAAATCTTGATAATGTGAAGTGAGGGTACCCTAACGGTTCAGAAATCAGAAGGCAAATAAAAAGACCTCTGAATGGTTTAAAAAGCATGAGATTTTCTTTAAAAAAATCATACAATCTTGTGATTTTTTGGGGGAGCCCTGACTTATGTTTTTCAACGATTGAAGTTGGCAATATTGTACACACACAGGCTTAGCTTTCCATATGGGAGTAGTTCCAGAAAACCCAGTGTGACACTGGCAGACCAGATGTCAGCTCATGCCAAAGCCCAGGTCAATTCCCTTGTGTATTAGTATAGATCAAACTAATTGTTAAATGTATATGAATGTTTTTGTTTTTAAATGTCATGAAAACTAAGGAGATGTTACTTGCATTGTTTGCACTTTCCTGTATCCTGTTATAATGTAATAGCAAACATTTACATTGTGTATACCCCTGTAACTAAATAACCCATCAAACGAGCCATCAAATGAGAAAAAAGCCTTGTGAAATGCAAATTAAGAACTTTAACAGAAAAATGTTAATGTCAAAGCAAGTGGTCACTGTGAATGATGATCGGCAATCAAAGACTCAAAATCATCAGTCAAAATTCCTCACTCTCCATCATCAAAGGAAAAGCCCATGTGGGTAGTGACACTGTCAGCTTGTTTTCTGTGAGAAGAAGCTATAAGAATGGATTCAAGGAAAGATCCCTCATCTCTGGATTACAATGAGGAGTCTGGGGGCACCTTAAATACTAACAGATTTATTTGGGCATAAGCTTTCATGGGTAAAAAAAACCCCTTCTTCAGGTGCATGGAGTGAAAATTACACATACAGGCATAAATATACTGGCACATATATCACTAATGTGATATATGCCATCATGTGCCAGCAATGCCCCTTTGCCATATACAATGGCCAAACCGGACAGTCTCTATGTAAAAAGAATAAATGGACACAAATCAGACATCAGGAATGGTAACACACAAAAGCCAGTAGGAGAACACTTCAGTCTTCCTGGACATTCAATAACAGATTTAAAAGTAGCCATCTTTCAACAAAAAAAGTCAAAAACAGACTTCAAAGAGAAACTGCAGAGCTACAATTCATTTGCAAACGTAACACCACTAATTTGGGCTTGAATAGGGACTGGGAGTGGCTGGCTCACTACAAAAGCAATTTTCCCTCTCTTGGTATTAATACCTCCTCATCAATTATTGGGAGTGGACCACATCCACCCTGACTCAATTGGCCTTGTCAACATGGTTCTCCACTTGTAAGGTAACTCCCTTCTCTTCATGTGCCAGTATATTTATGCCTGTATCTGTAATTTTCATTCCATGAATCTGAAGAAATGTGGTTTTTACCCATGAAAGCTTATGCCCAAATAAATCTGTTAGTCTTTAAAGTGCCACCGGACTCCTTGTTTTTGTGGCTACAGACTAACACGGCTACCCCTCTGATACTTGGCATCCTGGATTGTTTGGATTCTAATAGGGCAGAATGACTGAATGAGGAGACAGATCCCCAGAGTTATTCTGGGTAGCCTTTACATCGCTGCTACCATTTGGAATTACAAACTGTGACTCACCTGTGCATATATTTTACCTGCTTTAACTTCTCAATAACACTCACTTCCTTTTCTTAGCTAATAAATCTTTAGTTAGTTTACTATAGAATTGGCTGCCAGCGTTGTCTTTGGTGTAAGAGCTAGAGTGCCAGTTGGGGTAAGTTACTGGTCCCTTGGGACTGGAAGCAACCTAAATGTGATGTGATCTTTGATGTAAGTGACCGTTTATCACTAAGTCCAGTTTGTCTGGGTGGCAGGATAGACTGGAGCATCTAAGGGGACTGTCTGTGATGCCAGGGAAGAATAGTATAGTATAGTCCAGGAGTTCACATTTGGTACTAGCTTGGTGAAATCTAATTATAGAACATACCACTAGTTTGAGGTGTCTGCCCTGTTTTCTGGCAGTCTTCCTTGAGCTGAGCCACTCCAGACAGCCTGACACCAACAGGACTATTTACATTTCTCAAATTATTCACAAGACAGTGCAGGTTTGGGGGCAAAGTATGCATGTGTCTCTATATACATATATAGAGGAACCATCAACATGTGAACATACTAGCCAGCCTTAAGTATCGGCATGATATTATATTTTTAAGCTTTGTTCATCTCTCCCTCTATTCCTACCCAATTGTTGCTATCACTAGTTGAGTCTTTGTCTGTATTATAGGTCCTGATACTGCAAACATTTACACACATGCTTAAATTTATCCAGTGGAACTACGTATGAGCAAAAAATCAAGAAGTGTGCCAGCATTCTCAGGATTTGAGCCCTTGACTAGAAGCCCTTTGAGTCCCTGGGTCCACATCCCTTTTTATTTTCTGAAATCTGTCTGTATGGCGTTAGCTCATCTTTGAGCATTGAGTGTATAAATAATATAAAAAACAATAATCATAACATGCAGAAAAGACGGAGGATGAGGACTGAAGGCAAGATGATTATACAGGCACTTGGGAAGCTAATGGAGGTGACTTGAGGGGTAAGTTTATCTTTAATGTTGTAGTTACAGAATACATGTATTTTTTTTTAAATTCCGGGCATAAAGTTGCAGCCCTAAGAAGGTGAGTATTCCTTGAAGTCAGTGTGATCACTCTTTAATTAAGATTTGCAGGTTTGAAATATTAGTAAGCTTGATTATAAATAATTAGTGGTTAGGGCACTAATCTATGACCTGGGAGACCTGGATTAAAGTTCCTGCTTTAACTCAGCCTTTCTCTGCCTCAGTTATATATTTCCCCATCTCACAGGGGTGTTGTGAGGATTAATTAATTAAAAATTGTGAAGTGCTTTGAGATTGACTGATCTATATACGAGCCAGGTATTATTATTGTAACTAATTTCAGAATGGATATTAAACCTCATGCTTCAGGGCTCACACCAATCTCTAATCGTAAAACACAAGGGTGAGACCTAATGTATGGGGGCAGGTTTTCCCACATCTGCCTACTGCGGGGTTCTCACACCTTCCTCTGAAGCACCTAGCACAGGCCACTATTGGAAATAGGGTACTGGACTGGACTAGATTTTAGGTCTGATCTAGTCTGGCAATTCCTATGTTCCTAATACATTTTGTATACTTTTTAGGCCCCGATTCTGCCCAGTACTGAAGTCAATGGGCTTATTTATAGTTAGGTATCAGAGGGGTAGCCGTGTTAGTCTGGATCTGTAAAAAGTGACAAAGAGTCCTGTGGCACCTTATAGACTAACAGACGTATTGGAGCATAAGCTTTCGTGGGTGAATACCCACTTCGTCAGATGCATGCGATCTGACGAAGTGGGTATTCA